GTGTGGGGTGTGTGGTGTGTGTGTGGTGTGTGTGGTGTGTGTGTGTGGTGTGTGTGTGTGGTGTGTGTATGGTGTGTGTGTGTATGGTGTGTGTGGTGTGTGTGGTGTGTTTGTGTGTGTGGTGTGTGTGTGTGGTGGGTGTGTGGTGTGTGTGTGGCGTGTGTGGTGTTTGTGTGGTGTGTGTGTGTGGTGTGTGGTGTGTGTGGTGGTGGTGTGTGTGTGTATGGTGTGTGTGTGGTGTGTGTGTGTGTGCTGTGCATGTGTTCATCCACGTGTTTATTTGCAGACGGTGACTGAGGGCAGCGGGGGCCTGGTGGGGGAGGGGTCGTGGAGGACGAGGAAGGCAGGGAAGGAGATTTGTATTTTAAGGAGGAGGGGTGAGACGTTCGAGTTGAGTAGGAGGAGTTGCATTCATTATTTGGAGGGGTAGGGGCACTGAGTGGGATGGGGTAGGGACACTCTGAGTGGGATGGGGTAGGAGCACTCTGAGTGGGATGGGGTAGGAGGACCTCTGAGTGGGATGGGGTAGGAGGACTCTGAGTGGGATGGGGTAGGGACACTCTGAGTGGGATGGGGTAGGAGCACTCTGAGTGGGATGGGGTAGGAGGACCTCTGAGTGGGATGGGGTAGGAGGACCTCTGAGTGAGATGGGGTAGGGACACTCTGAGTGGGACGGGGTAGGAGGACTCTGAGTGGGATGGGGTAGGAGGACCTCTGAGTGGGATGGGGTAGGGACACTCTGAGTGAGATGGGGTAGGGACACTCTGAGTGGGATGGGGTAGGAGGACTTCTGAGTGGGATGGGGTGGGACACTCTGAGTGAGATGGGGTAGGAGGACCTCTGAGTGAGATGGGGTAGGGACACTCTGAGTGGGATGGGGTAGGAGGACTCTGAGTGGGATGGGGTAGGAGGACTCTGAGTGGGATGGGGTAGGGACACTCTGAGTGGGATGGGGTAGGAGGACTCTGAGTGGGATGGGGTAGGGACACTCTGAGTGGGACGGGGTAGGAGGACCTCTGAGTGGGATGGGGTAGGGACACTCTGAGTGGGATGGGGTAGGGACACTCTGAGTGGGACGGGGTAGGAGGACTCTGAGTGGGATGGGGTAGGAGGACTCTGAGTGAGATGGGATAGGAGGACCTCTGAGTGAGATGGGGCAGGAGGACTCTGAGTGGGATGGGGTAGGGACACTCTGAGTGGGATGGGGTAGGAGGACTTCTGAGTGGGATGGGGTGGGACACTCTGAGTGAGATGGGGTAGGAGGACCTCTGAGTGAGATGGGGTAGGGACACTCTGAGTGGGATGGGGTAGGAGGACTCTGAGTGGGATGGGGTAGGAGGACTCTGAGTGGGATGGGGTAGGGACACTCTGAGTGGGATGGGGTAGGAGGACTCTGAGTGGGATGGGGTAGGGACACTCTGAGTGGGACGGGGTAGGAGGACCTCTGAGTGGGATGGGGTAGGGACACTCTGAGTGGGATGGGGTAGGGACACTCTGAGTGGGACGGGGTAGGAGGACTCTGAGTGGGATGGGGTAGGAGGACCTCTGAGTGGGATGGGGTAGGGACACTCTGAGTGGGACGGGGTAGGAGGACCTCTGAGTGGGATGGGGTAGGGACACTCTGAGTGAGATGGGGTAGGGACACTCTGAGTGGGATGGGGTAGGGACACTCTGAGTGGGACGGGGTAGGAGGACTCTGAGTGGGACGGGGTAGGAGGACTCTGAGTGGGATGGGGTAGGAGGACCTCTGAGTGAGATGGGGTAGGAGGACTCTGAGTGGGATGGGGTAGGGACACTCTGAGTGAGATGGGGTAGGAGGACCTCTGAGTGGGATGGGGTAGGGACACTCTGAGTGAGATGGGGTAGGGACACTCTGAGTGAGATGGGGCAGGAGCACTCTGAGTGGGATGGGGTAGGGACACTCTGAGTGGACGGGGTAGGAGGACTCTGAGTGGGATGGGGTAGGGACACTCTGAGTGAGATGGGATAGGAGGACCTCTGAGTGAGATGGGGTAGGGACACTCTGAGTGAGATGGGGTAGGAGGACCTCTGAGTGGGATGGGGTAGGGACACTCTGAGTGAGATGGGGTAGGGACACTCTGAGTGGACGGGGTAGGAGGACTCTGAGTGGGATGGGGTAGGGACACTCTGAGTGAGATGGGGTAGGAGGACTCTGAGTGGGATGGGGTAGGAGGACTCTGAGTGGGATGGGGTAGGAGGACTCTGAGTGGGACGGGGTAGGAGGACTCTGAGTGGGACGGGGTAGGGACACTCTGAGTGGGATGGGGTAGGAGGACTCTGAGTGGGACGGGGTAGGAGGACTCTGAGTGGGATGGGGTAGGAGGACTCTGAGTGGGATGGGGTAGGAGGACCTCTGAGTGGGACGGGGTAGGAGGACTTGGGGAGTGGGATGGGGTAGGAGCACTCTGAGTGGGACGGGGTAGGAGGACTTGGGGAGTGGCTGTTGCTCGCGTGGGGTTGGGGTCTCACATGTGGCAGTGTTCGGGGCGTGAACTGGCACGAAGATGTGTGGGGGTGGGCTGCACTCACCGCACGTGTGCGTGTGTACGTGGTGAGTGTGTACGTGGTGAGTGTGTGTGTAAGTGGTGAGTGTGTACGTGTGTGTGCAAGTGGTGAGTGTGTACGTGGTGAGTGTGTGTGTAAGTGGTGAGTGTGTACGTGTGTGTGTACGTGGTGAGTGTGTACGTGTGTGTGTGTAAGTGGTGTGTGTGTACGTGGTGAGTGTGTACGTGGTGAGTGTGAGTAGTAAGTGTGTACGTGGTGAGTGTGTGTGTACGTGGTGAGTGTGTACGTGGTGAGTGTGTACGTGGTGAGTGTGTGTGTAAGTGGTGAGTGTGTAAGTAGTAAGTGTGTAAGTAGTGAGTGTGTAAGTGGTGAGTCTGTACGTGGTGTGTGTGTGTGTAAGTGGTGAGTGTGTAAGTAGTGAGTGTGTACGTGGTTAGTGTGTACGTTGTGAGTGTGTGTGTGGGGGGGGGAGCGGTGGTGTAGCGGTTAGCGCGCAGCGCTACGAACCCGGCTACCCGAGTTCGATTCCCGCTCACGGCTAATTGAGCCGGTCCCGGGCATCCCCTAGGTTGACTCAACCTCAAATGACTATCTTGCGCGGTGCATAAAAACATCGCCACTGGGGGAGACAAAGGCGGCCGTGCGTGGTGTCGGCCACTCGCCCAACTCGTGTGTGCTGTCGTGCCTGCCTTCACAGCCACTGGCTCACAGCACTTGCACCCGGCGGTCTGCTGAAGGCCACACAGAGATATGTCTGCGTCGTCTTCGCAGATTGCTCCAATCCCTTCGGTGGTGGTGGGTAGCGAGCCACTTGGCGAGGGAAGTTGAAGGGGCGCTGGGGAGAGAAGGAGGAGGAGGAGGGGGGGGGACTCTTATTTTGAAACGGAGGTTTGAGCTCCCACCCACCCGCTCGCCTTCATTTCCCGAAATGTTTTACGCAAACCAGATGATTGGTTTTGTGCGTTGTCGGGAGTAAGGGTGGGGGGGGATCGCTCTCTCTCCCTCCCTCCTTCTCGCTCCTCCTCCTTCCCTCCCTCCTCAAGCTCCCCCCTCCCTCCTCGCTCTCCGGACTCGCGTCGTGCGAGCGGCGAGATGGATTCAATTACTGGCCGAGCCGCGGGAGCTTTCACGTGGAGCTGTGGCTCGGAGCGAGACCGCGCTGCGCCGTCGCCTTAGGAGCGACGACACGCGAAGCGAGGCGGAAGAGACACGGGAAGAGAAATACAGCGAAGCGACACGCGAAGCAGTAGAGACACGCGTTCTAAAAGGTAATAACGGTTGCAGTTCATCGCACGAGACTCTTCACGACGTTATTTTATGTTTCCCAACTTGTTCTAGTTTTACTTTTGAGGCTGGGGGGGGGGGGGGAGGGAATATTTATCTGCTATGAAAATGGGCCGTTGCCCGGAACGTCGTCTGCAGCACGATGCGTATGAATGTTTGTTTCTTGAACGCCAGTGTTATCGACGGATGTGGGGAGGTTTTGTTGTTGTTCTTGTCGTCATTGGGTTTTACCCTGTAAGATTAGCGGTGCCGATGCATTGTATGTTAACACATCGGAACACACACACGCGCGCACACTTGTAAGTGCTATGTCAATATGTGCACGTGTGTGAGAACCCATTTATAACAACGCGAAGGCGAGAGATTACGTCCACCCAAATCAATTAACAGTCGTCAATAAAAAATCAATGACGAACCAGGCAGCCCAATAATTCTCAGCGCCAATACACACACCGAAGTCCCGGCGTTAATGATCGAGTTCAACTCCGGACCGTGAATCACTAATGGGAGCTATTCAAACACAGCGGCGGCGGCGGCAGTGGCAGCGAGGCGCGATTGAAGATTAATTCCAATGAGCGGAAATCCATTCGATCCAACAATCTTAGAACCACCGTGGTAGTCTTGTCGTCTGTCTGGCCGACGCTCGGGCTGAGTTTGACGCGTGACCGCGGGCTCACTAAAACGTGCTCACACATCATCGGCGTCACCATCAGTAGCAGCAGTAAGCAGCAACACGCGCCGCTACTGAGTAGGGAAGAGAGAGATAGAGGGGGGGGGTGGAGGGGGTGCTTGGCATAGCGAGACGAGGAGGCGGAGGAGGAGGAGGCACGGAACGAGCCTCGCGCTGGTTTCTCTCTGCGCTAAAGTGCAGCGAGCGAATCTCGCGTAGGAGCGAGACTCCTACGCGGGTGGGGAGCTTCGACTGCAACATCCCCCGCGTCTCATAGCCTGTGATGCTCCTGCCGCGTTGTCTTTCCCTCTACACCTTCAGCTGCGCCCGAGTCGTCCGTCTTCTCCCCTCCGGTGCTCGGTTCTGTTGGTAGCCGTTCAAGTTGCTTTGGGGTGGCGGGCGGGCGAGCGGGAGAGTTTCGAGGCTTCGCGGTGCAGAATTCGAGAACGGTTTGAAAGATTTTTTCTGACAATCGCGGATCTGGGATTTGGGGAAAGTGGGGGGGGGGGGGGCAGGGGGTTTGAAGGTTCAGGGTTTGAAGGCGCTCTTTAAAAGAGTGCGATCGATACGTATTAATACTTCTTATGAATACGGTGTAGAGCTGTCATCGTGCCTGGGAGCGGTGGTGTGGAGTGGTTGGGGGTGGGAGAGAGTTTGAAACAATCTCAAGAGGCAGCGGAAGACGCGGCGAAGGGCCGTTTCGCGAAGATCACGGCACTTTTTTTTTTGTTTTCGTTCTTGGAGTTGTCCATCGACCGAACGAGGGGGTTCGACACTGCCGACGGTTCCTGCGCCAAAGTGAGTCGTCTGTCGCCTAAGAAGCATCGCCACACTTTCTGCCACACACGCGACACACACACACGCGACACACACACACGCGACTGTCAGGCGGCGATGCAATGATCCATCGACGGTATTCGATTGACATCGCCGCACTCACGACTACTGCGCCTGCTTTGTACGGTTGCACGTTGAACTTCTTTCGCACCGTGCGTAGCCAACCGCGCGAATCGGAGGCGCGGTGTTGAGTCTATGGGCAGTGTTGAGTCTATGGGCAGTGTTGAGTCTATGGGCAGTGTTGAGTCTATGGGCAGTGTTGAGTCTATGGGCAGTGTTGAGTCTATGGGCAGTATTGGTCTATGGGCAGTGTTGAGTCTATGGGCAGTGTTAGTCTATGGGCAGTGTTGAGTCTATGGGTAGTGTTGGTCTATGGGTAGTGTTAGTCTATGGGTAGTGTTGGTCTATGGGTAGTGTTAGTCTATGGGCAGTGTTAGTCTATGGGCAGTGTTAGTCTATGGGCAGTGTTGAGTCTATGGGCAATGTTAGTCTATGGGCAGTGTTGAGTCTATGGGTAGTGTTGGTCTATGGGCAGTGTTGAGTCTATGGGCAGTATTGGTCTATGGGCAGTCTTGAGTCTATGGGCAGTGTTAGTCTATGGGCAGTGTTAGTCTATGGGCAGTGTTGAGTCTATGGGCAGTGTTAGTCTATGGGCAGTGTTGAGTCTATGGGTAGTGTTGGTCTATGGGTAGTGTTGAGTCTATGGGTTAGTGTTGGTCTATGGGCAGTGTTGAGTCTATGGGTAGTGTTGAGTCTATGGGTAGTGTTGGTCTATGGGTAGTGTTGAGTCTATGGGTAGTGTTGGTCTATGGGCAGTGTTGAGTCTATGGGCAGTGTTGAGTCTATGGATAGCGTTAGTCTTTGGGCAGGATGTATATTGGACTTATTTCGCACCGTACGTAGCCAACCGTGCTAATCGGAGGTGCTGGTCTCTCTCTGCGCTTTTGAAAATGCAGCAATCCATTTCTGTCTTCGCGCCTATCCTAATCCGTGTCGTTTGACCATACTTCACCACGCTGGTGCGCGCGCGGGTTAGCGAAGCAGCGGGGAGATGCCAACATCGGGTCAGATAAGACGGTGCCACTGATGATGGCCGTGGGCCGCGAATCCAACTTAGCGCTGCCAGGTTCGTAGGACAGCGCGCGAAGCCCGCGACTTGAATGGGAATTCGAAAGCGATCGTTTTTGTTTTCATATTTTGACATGAGGTTGAAACGTTCCCATAAATGAACACCGTGACCCTGCGAGCGATGATCGATTCACGCGTCTAAACTTTTGACGTTGTACAGTCTACAAGTTTGAGATACAGTACTGTGATATTTCAGCAATGCGCTAACAAAGAAATGCAAGACCCGCGCGTACAAAGAAAGAGTCTCGAGACTCGGTCGAGCTTTCGTGGATAAAGAAAGGACATTATTAATGGGTCATCAACGTTACCGCCGCTATATAAAGAATTAATAATAATACGAGTTCCAGACTTAAACCGACGCTTTGTTTCAAACTTTTAGCGGACGGTGCTGCGGTGTGCGCGTGTGCTGCCCGTGGACGCGATGCCTCTCGAAAAACAAAACGCACAGCTCCCGCTGACCGCCGGGCACTTTCAGAACGATTCAACGTCGAAAAACGCGGCTTTGTGGTATCGATCCCCGCGGAACACAGAGTTAGATTCCCCGGCCAGGTCTCTTAACATCGGTGGCGAGTGAATAATGACCCCCCCCCCCTCCAACTCCACCAACCTTGAGCAACTCGCGGGGAAGTATGACCCAGCAACCTCCCATTGACCGACACGGCGCTGGAAGGCATTTCATCCAGCAGTGGGCTGAGAATGGAGGGATGCCCTAATGGTTTTGTTTAATGAATCGATTGCTCGGAGTCTCAATCGAATGATACGTTAGACGTTGATAAAAACAGCAAATAATCATTCCATCGGTGATATTTGTTTGACTCAAACTTAACCACGTATTGTTGGGAGTTTGGTTGGCCCCGAGGAGGCTTTATATGTCTCGGGGGAAGGCGCTGAGTTCTCCTCTAGCGCGCACTACTTTCTAGATCACTCCGCGATGCGTACTAGGTGTGTGAATTTAATAGAATCCAGGCTACATATATAGAATCCAGGCTACATATATGTGTGTGTGTTTTTTTTTACTGGTCACGATAAGGAGAGGGAATTCGTTTAGGAGGACCGATGACGCAGCGGTTCGCGCGCTGCGCTATAATCCCGGCGGCTTGAGTTCGATTCCCGATCACGGCTCACAACGCGTCAGTGGCGAGTGATATCAGAACCGGTCCTGGGAACCAAGCTGCACTGACCAGCATGGTGAAGTATGGTCAAACAACGGCATGGGTGAGACCTTCACCCAGAAGTGGTTTAACAAATCGGGCTGTTCATCACTCTCTATATATATATCTCATCGGTCATGGTCAATCGACTGCTGGATGAAGGCCTCCCCGAACCTCTAACGATGCTGGACGTCTGTGAAATACTGAACATCTGTGAAAAAGAGCTTTATAGCTCATCGGATTCCTCCAGTATAAACACATTTTCGGACTCTGTAATAATCCGACGAGCGCCTGGACACGAACTAGAATGTCCGTCGCTCCCATCTCCCCTCTCTCTCGTACTCCGTTTCCTTCCCGACTAGATATCATGACTTTTATTTTAAAAACACACACACACACACTACGTTTGGACGTAGAATTACGTTTCGTGAACGTTTTGTTTAACCGAATCTCGATTGGCTCGCGCGCTTGTGCCCGGAGGGGGATTCCACGGGACGGTGACACGTTCTGTGGATCTTTCGATGAAGTCACGTTGATAGAAAAAATAAAATAAAAAATGTAAAACTACGTCGTTTCGATCACAACACAAATGATCGTCATCGGGAGGATCAGGAGGATGACGATCGCTTGCGTTGTGATCGAAACGTCGTAGTTTTACATTTTTTTTTATTTACTTTGATTTTGTTCTATCTACGTAACTTTACCGAAAGATACACAGAATATTAATTCCTGCAGTCAAGAAAGTTTTAAGTCGGGACGGTGACAATTGTCATCTTTGAACAAATCCACGGTCTACGTTGACCGCTCGAAACTCTTAGAACCCGGGAACATTTAATTTTCCTTCGCGATGTGTTGTGTGTTGTGTATGTATGTATGTATACACAACACACTACACTACACACTACAACACACATCTAATTGTATGTATACACTACACACATATAATTGTATGTATACAATACACACACATATCAATAGTTAATAGTTACAGTACGCGCTATGTTGCATCAAGTGAATATTTCCGATGTGATTATTGAATCTGTGTGTGACATCTGTTCCTGCGTAGTTGGCCTCAACATCTCTACGGGTTGAACACTTCGTATGTACGTGTACTGCCCCTGCGTGTATATATGTACGTGTACTGCCCTACGTGTATATATATGTACGTGTACTGCATGCACGTGTACACGTATGGATGTACGTGTGCCAGTACTGTATACGCGAATGCGGAGGAGCGGTGGCACAGTGGTTAGCGCACCGCGCTACGATCCCGACGAGACGGCATTCCAATTCTCGCCCTCGGCCAACATCAGCGACGAAAATTGCGATCCGGTCTTGGACCTCGCTCGCCTAGGTCGACTCAGCCTTAAAACATCGGCACAAGTCGACAGTTTTGGGGGCCGCATCATAAGAGCTCGCGAACGACACTTGCCCCCTAAAGTCTGCGTCGGCTACACGGAGGACCTTTGTCTCTCGCTGCTCTCGTGGCAAGGGAGGTGGTGCCATGTGGATTCACGCACTGCGCTCACGGTTCCAGTCGCCGGTGACCTGGGTTCGACCTCCATGCGCGTCGCCACCAGATCGAGAGGAATTCGTCCCTGAGTCTCAACTCGGCAATGGCATCATTGCGTGGGAGGCAGATATGCCTTTCTGGCTGGAATCGACGACGTTCGCTCACGTTACGCTTCCCCGTGCCACGTGTGCTCGCGCGCAATGGATATTCGCCACACCGCCCCCTCATGTGCGCCGTCAGCCTTTGATGGGAGCTCGCCAACAGCAGTTGCCCCGGCAGACGCAGGGGCAACGGAACCGGTGTGAGTCTGTACCCGTGCGTGTAGAAGCATGTCTCTGTTTGGATGTATACATCTGTCCGTACGTCTCTGGGTAGGTGTAATCCGACGTGTGTCTATGTACGCGTGTCTGTGTGTGTGTCTCTGTGTGTTCCTGCACATCTGTCTGTGTGTAAAGCTGCGTGAGTCTCTGCGCGTCTGTCTGTACGTAAATCTGCGAGTGCGTGTGTCTGTGTGCGTCTCTTCGCGTCTGTCTGTACGTAAGTCTGCGCGTGTGTCTGTACGCAAGTCTGCGTGTGTGTCTGTACGTAAGTCTGCGTGTGTGTCTGTACGTAAGTCTGCGCGTGTGTCTGTACGTAAGTCTGCGCGTGTGTCTGTGTGTGTCTGTGTATGTCTGTGTGTGTCTGTGTGTGTCTGTGTATGTGTGTGTGTGTCTGTGTATGTCTGTGTGTGTCTGTGTATGTCTGTGTGTGTCTGTGTATGTCTGTGTGTGTCTGTGTATGTCTTTGTGTGTCTCTGCCCATATGCCTGTCTGCTCTGCACGTGTCAGTCACATTAGCAGAAGGCGCCTGACATTTTAATTGCGAATGAGGCGCGTCGCAGGGGGGGGGGGAGTTGGGGGGGGGGGTTGAGGGGGATGAGGGGGATGGGGGGGTTTAGGGGGATAGGGGAGGATGAGGGGGATGAGGGTTAGCGCCGCTGGGGGTCGTGGGAGGCTCTGATAGCGACGAGGAGCCGCGAGGAGCCATGGGAGTGTGTTCGTATGTCCCCGTGTGTGTGTGTGCGTGTGGTTACGGCATTCATAGGTGCTACTCGCTAACGGCACTTGCCCCCAACTGGCTGTTAAGGCTACACGGGGAATATTTGTATTTGTGTGCGTGTCCTCTTTAAC